ATGCCTATTAGAGTATTTGTACTCTGAAATTAACGCAACACTCAAAAGCATTGTGCCATAATTGTAGACGCCAAAGTAATTTTGATGGGAATGTTTGATTTGAAATATTAAATAAAAAGCCAGTGGCTTTTTCAAAACTTTGATGTACTGCATTGATAAGTTTTTCAAAAGTCATGCCTTTTTTCCTATTGAAGCTGAATTCATACCTCCAAGTTATTGATTTGATAATTTCAGCATCAAGTGATGGCTTCTACAAACAGCCAACACTGACCAATAATTGCAAATAGGTATAATCTTAAAAGGCAGTAGAGTTCAAATCATTCCTTCTTTTTTATTTAGAATTTCTATCCCATTCCCTCCTTCCTTCGTTCCAACCCTGCTAATTTTCAACTAGTAAAGCTGCAAATAGTTGTTGCTTCGTAAGGCGGAACTTTGGGATTCACAGTATTAAATTCATAGACTTTGTTCTGGCTATGCAAATAATATGCTTAGTCATAAGAGAATGAGGTGGCGTTTGTATTTCTGGGGAGCTTTTCTATTCCAACAGCTACTCACTCATACACTGTCATGTACAATATGTGACTTGATATAATGCTAGCCGGCTGGCAAAAATTAGACGTGACCTATTGATTGCTAGATCTTTCTTAGTGACTCTCATCCACAACACTTTCTATAATGGCACAATCAAATAGCTCATACACAAGAACATTTTCTCAAAAAACCAAAAAAAAAAAAAAAAGCCTGCATTTTCTCAGTAGTGCAAGTGGTCCAAATTGGTGCAATTTCTTAAGTGTTAATTATGAGTCATTAGCAATAGCAAGGAAACACTTACAGTACTGAATGCCATTTCAGATGAGATGCCCAGCTAATCTAGCATTTTGGTCCCACACAGTCTAACCAGTTGTTTGTGAGAAAGCATTAGGCAGCATGTGAATGCAACTGCTCCCTTCTGCTTATATTCCCTAGCCAACAGTATGGAGAAGCATGTTGACTTTACAATACTTTACAGCCATCTTGACCAGTAGCTATGATAGGTTTATACTATTTCCCATGACCTTGTTTACACCTCTTTTAAAACTGTCAGAGTTCATAGCTCTTACACCTTGTGCTAATCACATAACTTTACGCTAAGACGATATGAAGAAGCAATTCTTTAGATCGATTCTGAATTTTCCATGTTCACATTAATTTTAATATTTAAGACTCTTTCACCATATCATCCCTACACTAATTGTATATGTCTTTATGAGATTTCCCCCTTATTTTTTTTCTCATCCAAAAATATCTTAATTGTTCTGACTTCACTTATTCCAAGTATGGCTGTAGTATTGCAGTTTTATTTTAAACTTGTCCTGATTTCCAATATCAAAGCAGAGCAACAAAACAGAAAACTAAGTTTTATCAAGCTATTCACTACAATCCTTATGCTGTATGTTCATTATTACTTCTAATGCATACCGTAAGGAATCATACTACTGGCCATCCAGCTATTTTCTGGTGGCAAATTGTTATTTCTAGATGGTTTTAAATTATAGCAGCACATGATCATCTGCAATACTGGCAAGCAAAACTTTTAAACATAGGCCACAATTTTGAATGAGATTACATGGGAGTAAATGGATATTATGAATTTAATTCTTGTCATATATATTGCATTGTTGTCTTAGGAGCTCACTTAATTCTCTACTCATTTTATTTCCATAATCAACCAGTGAAACAGATTGGGCTGATATGTAAAGGGCTGAACTATATATAACTTCACTATTATAGATTTTGAACTGAGAGTTTGTGGCAATGTATTAATATCACTAATTGACAAAAAGCTTTTTATATGTACAGTACATGAAAAAAATATTGAGAAGAGGAATCTGACAGATATACTGAAAAATCTGATCATTCATATAATGCATTTCATTTATTGAAAAGTGCTAGGTAAGTATTAGTAAAATTAGAAATTTCTCTCTCTCTGGTTATTCTATGTAATCTATAGCATATTATTGCTTCCATTGATTTTGGAAAAAATTAAGTGTAGCGTTCTTTGGATAAATAAAAGAATTACGGTAACATTTTAGGGATTCTGAGGACAAGGCACATCCATATATCAACTAGACTTTTACTTCACTTTAAAACAGGTAACTTTAGATTTCAGCTTCTGAAAACATAGAATGAATGTCTTACCTCCGTTCTTCTACAAAGTGTTGTAGTTATTTAATGTTACCCCAGATACCAGGAAATAAGCTTTCAAAAAAAAAAAATTGTGCTAAAAATAAAATAAAAACCAACATAATTGGTGTTCAAAGTGATGGAATGGCTATCCCATATTGATGGTAAGCATAGAGACTCAATTTTAAAGTTGAGCTGATTATCTAAACCAGATAACTAAACTGGAAATTATACCGAGAATCTACTAAGTTCTTTAGCCTAGACCTGAAATCTTGTAAGTTTTTTGAGACTAACTTCTAAAAAATACAGAGAAGACTGAATTATAAAAATATTCAAGACTAGGATGTAAGGAACATTAAAAAAAAACACACACCAAATTCAAGGTACCAATTTTTGCTGCCCAAACTGCATTCAACATTTTTTCCGTGCAAAGCTAATCTAAGTACAAAGAAGAAAAATCTAACATGCTCATGTAAAAAAAAAAATCACAAATGTTTATTCTGCCATTAATAACGGTCCATGACTCGATTGCATGCTATTTCCATTTATTTTATTGCAGACATCATTTTTAAAAAAATTAAATATTGGATTTTATCAATATGGTAGTTTAGATACAAACATCTCTGGAAATCAAAATATCTTTAAGCAATATATCAGAATGATTACTCCACAAAATGAACTTAATAGAAATGAGTTGAAAAGAAGCACTTTAATTGATGGGATAGGAGTTAGAATTAAGTTCCAAATAAACTTTTTTCACAGACAACTTTATCATATACATTAAATAACAACAATCTAAACTGCCCTTTTCTTATAAAGGTTTCTATGTAGTAATGAACCCACTTCAGCAATTTAGTCTCCAGAAATATTGGGATTTCAACTCTCTGGTAAGTCCCACTTCAACTGGAGGACACCAGACTAAGTATCACTAATCTTTATGATCAAGATAACAACCTACATAACCTGTAATCACTGTCTGATTTTCCTTTCCCTTTTTCCTTCTTAGATACAGCTTTCACTCACTCTACCACACACAGGAAAATGGCTAATCTTTCTAGTTTCACAAGTAAAAACTGCCTCTGTGGGTGTTATTAACATTTGACACTTATATCAAAAAGATGGTTCAAAGGTCACTATACAAAGAAAGTAACTGTACCATCACTTTCTAGCTCAATCCCATCTCAGAACATTACACCGTACATATTTTAAAAGGAATCAGGGTTGAATTTTGAAATAATTATTGTCAAATGAATGCTCATTACTAAATTGGCTCTTATGTCTTCTGGATATATTTGGTAAATTATAATTTATGAAATATACCTGTTTATGATTTGGCTAGCGATGGAAATATTTGATTTCAAATTATCACTGAAAGCAATTATGGTTGGTTTTTTTTACCTGTGGACATCCATGCTCCATAAAAAGTGTTTCCTCACTCAACTTATCACCAAAATGCTACTGAAGTATTAAATTATGACCCTGTTACCATACTGGATCATAACTCATACATATTGCCTCAAAGTTAGTTACGACACTAATAGGAACTTGCAGTCTCTAGCGTTTAATGCCCTAGGGAGAAATGTCAGTGGGAAATTTACAAAACACTCCTGCAGACTTGGGATATGACACCAAGGCATTATATGTATTTCACAATCTATAATCTCTGTTGTGGAATGATTATACTTCAAACCCTATTTACACTCCTTGTTGTGATTAGGAAAGCTAAGAAAAGGCATGATTTATTTAAAAGAAATTATCAGCACTTTTGAATTACTAAGTACTAAGTGTAACTCCCTGCCCATCATTTTGTCTTTATTTATAAGGACCCATCTTGGCTACAGGTGCTTTACATTTTCCTACTATCAGAATACTCACAGCAGGCAATTTACATAGGAAAAGCTAAAAGCTTAAGGGGATCTAGAGTACAACAAAGCCCTATGAAACTACTTCTGCAAACCCAGAGGGCGCCTATTAATGCCCATTCCTGCCCACTTGGATTTATCAGGAACTCAAATATAATTCAAGTTACTATCAACGTCTCCTTCCTCAAGATGTATTACTCAGACCTGATGCAAAGCAAACTGCACACCCATGCCTAAAGGGCCCAGGAAACGTTTATCTTTTTTCTCTTTTAACTAAAGACTTTCAAGTCAAAATCTGCACATCACAAAAATCCTTTGCAACCCTTCTCAGATTCCTTTTACCTGGGCAGAATTTTCCTCGTCTAGGGTCCAACTCCTCAGACTGACATATCCATGAACTACGAGTTAATAAGTTGTTGCGCGTGTGCTCACACGGGCATGTCTTTCGTACAGATGTCTCTCCTTCCCTTCACCGTCCCCCCCCCCCAACCCCGGATAGTAAGTCTTATCTTTCCACAGAGTCCGCGTACGGGAACCCTATCCGGAAAGACTTCAACTCCTTCTCCCGACCGCTATCACAACCCCCGAGTCTGGAGAGGAACTCTCAGAGGAAACCCTGCGCCTCCGATTCTGACAGGGAAGACGACCTGCTCTTGCCTGGCACGGCCCTCCTCAAGGTTCCCCCACCCCCGCAGAAAAAAAAACAAAGTTTCTTTTGCCTTTTTGCGGCGCCAGCTCCCCTATTCCGATACACCCCCCCCAACCCCAGTCCGTCGCACCTCCCGCAGCCACCCCACTCCCGCTGGACCCAGAGACACGTGCCTCCACGGACTGAGTTTCCCGAACGCCTCCTAGAGTTACAGCGAGTGGCAGCCGCTACCGAGGCGGGCGGGCACTCTGGGACGCAGCCCGTGTGGCGCTCCCTCTCCCCTGCCCCAACGCGCCGCGAGAGGCTCCCGCTCGTCTCGCACTGACCTGACGCTGTCAACGCGGCAGGAGCAAAGGCTTCGCCTCTAGTGGCATGGGTTCCCCCGCCCAGCCCGTCCTATGGGCAGGCCCCGCCTCTTGGTCCCGCGGCTACACTTCCCCGCCCTCCAGTCAACCTCCGCGCCCCACCCACCCACCCGGGAGCGCCCCGAGCGGCAGCGCCGGAGCCGCTTTCTGCCTATCCGCTGACCCCGGGCGAGGGACGAGCAGGGGTTTGGGAACGGGGGCATCGGGTCTCCGGCTCTCTGTCTGTCTGTCTGTCTGTCTCTCTCTCTCTCTCTCTGTGTGGTCTCTTTTGCCAGAAAGAGCGTTCCACGTGCTGCCGATGAACCCGGGAGAAAATGCGCGCAATTTGAATACAGTCCTGTCAAAGGATAGGAAGCGTGCGGGGTGGCGTCACGGCTGGTCTTCGTTTTTTGGGGTGGGACGGTGCTCAAAATGCATCCTTTAGGGAACCAGCCCGACGCTGGCTTTCCCACGTGCAGGTTTTCTCCACGGACTAGCTTTCCCGCGGACAGTCTTGGGTCTCTCTCTGCCCTCAAAAAATGTCGGGGTCCGTTTTAGGGTTGTCCCGGTTAATCTAATCCCCCCGCCCACGCTTTGGACGACCCGTCCTTTTTGGTAATTGCTTTCCTCTCGATAGGAAATGAAAAAAGAATATAGGAAAGGCAATATGTATCTTCCTTCCTCTGTACTGCACCACTTTTATTTCCTTTTGATGCTTCTCCCTGTCTCCCTTAGAGTTTGGACACAAAGATTTGACATTCTTGGAACAATCAGCTGTTTGGAATTTTGTTATTAGTGGGGTTTTCCTTTTGGTTTTGCAACTTTTATAAGCAATTTGAAGAATTTCCAAAGTACTCTTGCAGTTTCGGTTGTCCAGGCCTTGACTGCCCTGTTATGAATTTCTGTAGCCCAAATGTGGTATCCTTTTCATCAGAGGTGGCATTCAGCAGGTTCTGACCAGTTCTGCAGAACGGGTCGCGGAAATTTTGAGTGGTTTGGAGAACCGGCAAATACCACCTCTGACTGGAGATTTTACAGTATCCTTCCCCTGCCACGCCCACCAAGCCACGCCCACAGAACCGGTAGTAAAAAAATTTGAATCCCACCACAGCTTTTCATGGTTTTTAACGTCCTTCCAATATTGGTAGATGAGACCCACTCTGGTGGGCTCACAGAAGATACAGGTAGTCCTCGACTTAACAACAGTTCATTTAATGACATTTTGAAGTTACAACGGCACTGAAAAAGTGACTTAGGACCGTTTTTTACAATTAAACCATTGCAGCAGTGGTGGGATTCAAAGTCTTTTACTACCGATTCTGTGGGCACGGCTTGGTGGGGAAGGATACTGTAAAATCCCCAGTCAGAGGTGGTATTTGCCGGTTCTCTGAACTACTCAAAATTTCCGCTACCGGTTCTCCAGAACTGGTCAGAACCTGCTGAATACCCACTTCTGCATTGTAGCATCTCCCAACTCACATGATCAAAATTCAGACACTTGGCAACTGACTCATTTATGATGGTTGTAGTGTGCCAGTGTCATGTGAGGCACAGGGTTACAACCCTCTGACAAGCAAAGTCAATGGGGAAGCCAGATTCACTTAATAACTGGGTTACTAGTTTAACAATGGGACGATTCACTTAACAACTGTGGCATGCAAGGTTGTAAAATGGGGCAAAACTCACTTAACAAATGTCTCACTTAGTAACAGAAATTTTCGGCTTAATTGTGGTTGTAAATTGAGGACTACCTGTACTAAGATTTCAGTGCTACTGCTAGGGTCAACATCTAATTGCATCTTTGACTTGATCACATTGAGTTGATTAAAAGGGATTACTGTTACAGTACAGATACAGATATGTTTTAAAAATGCAAATAGGTTAATATTTTGCAAATCAGTAACACCGTGGTTGTGGGAGACTTAACTAGCAAGAAATATATGTATACAAGTATAAGCATATTTGTCTCCTCAGACCAAATTATTCTCCCTCCCTTCTCTCTATTTCCCTCCCTCCTTCCTTCTCTCTCTCTCCCTCCCTCCCTCCCTCTCTCTCTCATGCTACATATGGATAGTCTGATAGAGCCAGCAGGAGTTGAATTACACTTGAAGGAGACTAACTACTAAGGCAAAAATAAAAATGGGATTCTTAAACTTGTCTGAAATGGCAGGCTAATCTAAATTATCTCTAAATTATTCTAAGGTACATTTAGAATATCCTTAAATGAGACACAATAATTATCAGGGAGTCAGATATATTTCTTACAAAAGTATTTCTAATACCATGATAGATTAGTTTCTTTGTTTAAAATGTAGTGGCTCTGCTCCAGCTCCAATTAACCAGGTCTGGCAACCCAGTCATTTGCAAGTCACTCAATCCTACTGGCTTTGTGGTCTTGTTCATCAGCAATTATATGACAATTTCAGTCAGAGGAGTTTTAAATAAATCTGGAGAGGATTATTTTTTAAATCCATTAAAATTAGTTGAATTAAATTAATCAGCCATATCAGTCACTTTGTTCTGTTGGTTTCAATGGGTGATTAATGGCAAAAGACTGTTTTTAATAGGGAATAACTTCCAGTGAAGATTACTCCTAAATAACTGTACCTTGAATTACAGTTTTCGTCAAAATAATCTTTTCTTGATTATAGCTATTTTGTTATGAAGAGTAGTCATTATTTTATACATTGCTAATGAGTAATGTGTAAAATACAGGACTGCATTGTTTAATGAATTAACCAATTTAGATTAATTGGTTGAAAACTTATTAAAAAATCAGGATCAGGACTCCCTGCGCCCATTCAGGCCCTGGGCATCCCATGTCTGGACCACTGCAATGTGCTCTACATGCGGCTACCCTTGAAGAGCATTCAGAAGCTACAATCAGTGCAGAGTGTGGTGCTGTGGCCAGCCTTTGGGGCCCCTAGAATGGCCCACATTGTACTGCTGTTCCGTGAGCTTTACTGATTTCTGTCTGCTTTCAGGTGCAATTGAAGGTGTTAGTTATTACCTATAAAGCCCTACATGGCATGGGTCCACATTATTTGAGAAACGGTCTCATCCCAATGGGACAGGCCTGCCCTATCCACACCAGCAGAGGAAGCATGTTGCAGATCCCATCAGTCAAGGAATTTTGGCTGCCAGGGTCCAGGAAAAGAGTCTTCTTTCCAGTGGCTCCCACCCTTTGAAACGTCTTAACACCCATGGTGAGATCTGCTCCCACCCTCCTGGCTTTCCATAAGGGCCTAAAGCCTGGCTCTGCCAGCTGGCCTGAGGGTCCAATGGGGGAGATGCCTAATAGCAGACTCCACCTCATCTTCTACACACCTTGTTCTCTCCCTCCCCATCTTTTTTATCATAGCTTATTATTTTATTGCTATATAGCAATAGCACTTAGACTTATATATCGTTTTATAGTGCTTTCCAGCCCTCTCCAAGCGGTTTACAGAGTCAGCATATTGCCCCCAACAATCTGGGTCTTCATTTTACCCACCTCAGAAGGATGGAAGGCTGAGTAAACCTTGAGCCTGGTGGGATTCGAGCTGTCACATTGCAGTAGGAGTAGCTTGTAGTACTGCACTCTAACCACTGTGCCACCGAGGCTCCTATATACTGTATGTATATATATATACATATACTGTATGTTTGTATTTTTAAAATTGCTTTTAACTTTGTAAATTACCCAGAGTCACCTTAGGGTGAGATGGGGCTTAAAATAAATGAATAAATAAACAAACTTTCTAATGAATTTATGCAAGGGTTTTTTGACGATCTCTGAAAATTTCTCCTTTTGCATTCATGTAGAATGAACGGAATTTTCTAAGGCTATATTTTTATGGCGTGTCTAAACTAGATAAAAAAATGTGGGTTTTTTTGACTTCATAGTTTTTGTTTTTTATAGAAATGAATGTAAATGTAAGCCAATGTGAGGAGGGAATGATGATATGGATGTTGTTGCCTACTCACAACCAGAGAAACTCCCTGGGTGACTCATACTCTTATCAGTCTGACCTATCTCACAACCTGCCTGATCTTTGGAGAAACTAGGGGGAGGGAGCATTGTGCATTCTGCCTTGAGCAGTTGAATGAAAGATGGAATATAAGAATAATATGATCCAAATGAATGGAATATAATACTTAAGGAATTTGGTTCAAAATCATGATAAATTGTTTAAGATCTCTTCACCAACTGGCAGGAAGGCAAGTAAAATAACTACAAAGTTTGGAAATGTCTTCTGACGTGGACCAAAAAGGTCCATTATTTGAAGATATTTTTATTAATTAAACTTAAGAGATTGTTAAAATCCATATGTTCTCATAATGCAAAAAATGGATGAACTGAGATTAGCTCTTTTCCTCTGAAACCTTAAGATTAGCACATTGAATCTTGGTAAAATTGTAATTGCTGTATTACAGTGGTCACTGACTCCAGTGTTTTTACTTAGATTAGGCTCACTTAGTTTAATAGTACTTGTTGCAAATTAATGAAAAAGGTTGCACATTTATAGTGCAATCTTATAAATGTGGAAGTAAGCTTCTTTGTGTCAAATGGCTAAGTATTGGCCATTGTTTCCTGGTTTTTCCTGGTTCACTGTCAGGTGTTTTTTTTAAAGAAAATTTCTCATTTCTAAGGAAATTAGGAAGAAAACTGATTATTTTTTTTAACGAAGTAAAGGCTTTTAAAAATTAGTTTCAGTGTTATGAATATTATATCCGAGGTAAATAAACATGAATTTATAAACATACTATTGTTTTCAGGCAAATAAATATGATCCATATAAAGCAACCTTATATCAATAGAAAATAAATTTAATTTCTCATTTACTCTCATAATTACTGAGAGTAATTAAATATGAAACTGTATTTCCAGTAATAATTATGATAAACAGAATTAATAATTTAAAGACCATAAAAGTAATAAGCAGGTAAATATGGGCACCTTTGCAACCTTTCTTGCATTTACTAAAGATTTTGACTTGATGTAATAAATAAAATGAGTTTGGTGTTTATATTTGATGG